CATAATTAATCCAATAATTTAATAATAATAACAATAATATAAATAATAATAATGAGGATGATGAATCTTGATTGGAGAAATAATTTTATTCAATTCTATACTTTCAGAGGTCAAAGGCGACGTTGAATAATTAAAAATTAAATAACTAATTAGGCATAGATACAAATAGATATAGACACACGTGTACTTACATACGCACATATACATACACGCATACATACATACACACGTTGTATATATAGGTATACAAAGGTACACTAGCATCAAAAACTTACACAAGATATTCAGCGCGTTATCGATAATAAATTTATGAGTAAATACTTCTAATTAACTCTGGTAAATAAGTTCATCATTAAAAAATAACATGAATTTTTGAATGAATGAACTATCACATGAATTTTTACCTAACGAAGACTAAAATTAACTAATTTGATCTATTTTATGAATAAATTATGCTAATTTTGTGACCTAGAAAAATCTGCACTATCTTTTAGCGGATCAAATGCTGCAACGATATCGGACTTGTTTAGGTTTTTGCTGGAGCCTAGTAAAGGTGACGTCAATTTTTGTGGCTGTTGTGGTTGCTGTAGCTGCTGCTGATAAAGTTGATGCTGTGGCGAAATGTTGTTGAGGCTGTTGTTGCTGCCACTGGGACTGAGGCCGCCAAAAAGATTCATGGATGGAGAGGGCAGGGGTAGGAACCGTTGTCTGGTGATGATGGTTGAAGCGATGATTGTAATGATAGAGACAATGGTGATAAATTGAGACCCAATTTCCATTAAGCCATCACTGTTTTTTTGAACTCTAATATCATTATCATTAGGTGATTGTGATTAATGATTAAGATTGTAATGATTAGATAAATGATGATTGCAATTGCAATTATTAGATGATTAATGATAGGGATTGTAATGATTAGATGATTAACAATTGGGATTGTAATGATTAGATGATTGTGATTAGCACAATCACGATAATGGCATTTATAAAATTTAATTCTTACAATAAAAATACAGAGAAATATTCAAAAAAGAGTAACTTAAAATTTGTTGACAATGTTAAAAATTTAAAAATAAAATGACGTAATGTTATGACGTCACGGACCCTGGTTTTTTCTGCACACTGGAATGTTTGGCTGGAAGACTGTAATCATATCTGTAGTAGTTGTGTTAATAGTTATGTAAAAGTCATGCGAAAGTATGAATTGTGTTAATAAAACATCGTAATTTAATATTGCCGAACTTTATAAATTTTTCTTGAATTTTAAGAATGAGTTCTCTCGCAACAGTCGAAAAAAGTTAATAGATTTGAATCCAATAATTCATTAATCAATACAGCTCAATAAAAAACTTTCTATTTTACGTTTTAGTCTCTTTCTTTCTCTCTCTCTCTCTTTCTCTCTATCTCTCTCTCTCTTTCTTTTTCTCAATCACTTGAAAAATAGGTCGTACAATTAATAGTTTATTTTATCAGGCACTAAATCAATCTATTAATCAAAAATTTTACCCACCAGTCAACCAACCAAACCAACCAACTAACTGACCAACCAACCAGTCAACCAACCAACCAACTAACCAACTAACCAACCAACCAACCAACCAACCAACCAACTAACCAACTAACCAACCAACCAACCAACCAACCAACCAACCAACCAACCAACTAACCAACCAACCAACCAGCCAACCAACCAACCAACCAACAAACTAACCAGCAAACTAACCAATCAATCCATCAATCAATCAGTTAACCAACTAAACAACAAACCAACCAATCAATCAATCAGTTAACCAACTAAACCCCGCCCACCTTGCCAGATCTTCCACCTGGCTGCTATCTTCGGCGGCCAATCGCAATGCCAGCTCTCTGTCTCTGCGGTCCTGCTCTTGAAGCTGTTGTCTGATTGGTCGGCGGGTGACGATGATGACGTAATTAGTGTTTGTACTTTCATGCTACTGATTATGACAACAAAATAATCATAATTAGCAGAATTACCAATTATGTAAATTTATGAGTAACAAATAAGAAATAATTTTAAGTAATAATAAGAAAAATAATATGGAAGGGTAACAAAAAATAACTTACTTGATTGCTCTTTCTATCGCCTCTTGCTCGCGTATGATCTTCGTTTCATCCTGGTGACGATGATGATGATGGTTACCCCGATGATGATGACCCGATGATGGTGACGATGATGACGACAACGATGATGATGACCCCGATGATGACGACCCCGATGATGACCTCGACGATGATGACGATGATGACAATTATTAACATACTTATTTGATGTTAATAAAATAACAGCACAATGATGTGATGATGATGATGATGTTGTTGGGATGAATGACAACAAATGTACAAACCAATCTCTTCATTTCTTCCTCTCTTCTCGACTTTTCTTCTTCTTCTTCCTTCAATCTCCGTGCCTCTAACTCCAATTGTCTATCAAAAAATGAATGAATGAATGAATAAATGAATGAATGATTGAATGATTGATTGAATGATTGATTGAATGATTGATTGAATAAATAAATGAGTCAGTCGGCCGGTCAATTAATTATTCCATCAATTTATCTTACTGTTTCTTCAGTTCATCAGCTTTCATTCTCCTCTCACTTTCCTCCACCATCTTCCTCCTCTCCTCCTCCTGCCTCCCTCTTTCTTCCGCTTCTCTTTTTTCCTTTTCTTTCGATATTTGCTCCTGCGTTTGAATTGGCAAAAGTTAGAAAATTTCGTCGTCATCATCATCATCATCATTATTTTAATCACATCCCCATTATCAGTGAACAAACAAATGAGTGAATGAGTGATTAAATAGCAATAGTAATGATTAATAACAACTGAAGTAATAATAACAACAATAATAAATAATAATAATAATAATAATAATAATACCTGCATCTTTCTCACTCTCTCTCGTTCTTCAGCCATCTGTTGTTCTTCCACCAATTTTTTCAACTCCCCCACCACCCCCTCTAACGCCCCCATCAACATCTCACTTATGGAATTCAATTCTGATTGGTTGATCGTGGGGCTGGTCTAGATGAAGATGTGATGACGAAGATGATGACGTAATGATTGACGACGATGATGATGACGTAATGATGAAAATGGTGATGATGGTGCGGCTAAAAGTTCAAGTGGCTTAATTAAAATGACGTAACGACACGATAGTGACGTCATAACGATGTCTTCTTTTATATGACGTGATCATATAATGGAACGTGTCATCATGAAGCTGATGTTGATGCGATGTAATCTGATGATATCACGACGATGATGGCACGATGATGAATCTGAGTAAATGAGTCTAAAGGTTGTGTCAAAAATTCGAATGAAGGAGAAAGAGAGAAAAAGAAAGAGAGAGAAAAAGGGGGAAATAGTGAAAGAGAAAGAAAGAGAGAGAAAGAGAGAGAGAGAAAAAGGGGAAGATAGTGAGAGAGAAAGAGAGAGAGAGAGAGAGGGAAGAGCAAATGAATTACTGATGAATTTTAAAAAATTAGAAAAAAAAACATGATACGATAACCTAAGTGGTAAAATGGAAGGTTCTTCATTACAATGAATGGTCGGGTTCGATTACAAGAAGACGCCAACCTTTAACATGTCAATACATACAGCGCGTTGTTTTATAAAATGACAACAGTTATTATCAGTCTAACCTGCAATTTTTTGATGACGTCACCCATCTGACTTTTCAACATGGCGATTTTTTGCCTGGCGACCTCCTGACCTTCCTTCAACTGCAAGGTCATCTGGGTCATGGGATCAAGTTGGACGTACAGAGAGCGTATCTTACGTATGCAGGATATCCTGATCATGATGATGGCGGCAGTTGTGATGATGATGATGATGATGATGACGGAAGTTGTGATGATGATGATGATAGGGATGACGATACTGATAACGATGAAATCTATAACATGATAAATACAAAGGCGATTGTAATGAGTTCAAGTAATGCCTTATCCAAGTGATTAAAATGATACCAGAGATGCGAAAGGCGATGATGAAAAGTATATCAAAAAGTATGTCAAAGTGTAAATGATAATGAAGAAGATAAGAAATGACAAATGATAGTGTAAAAAATATAAAAAAGGATACATGATAGTGGATATATGATATATGAAACTACAAAGACGATGATGATGTAAGGATAACGTATCTAAAAAAAACAAGATAACAAAAAATGATAGCAGAAGAAATGATTAGAACGATGAAATGAGAAAAATGATGATGACGTCAGACCTTGGAGCGTACTCCTTCTTTACCCGCCACATCTTCACCAATGACTGGATAGTGATGAATTTCTTCCTTCGTTCCCCTATCAAGTTCCTAACTGAAAATAGTTTCATTAAATGTAGTAATTGAATACCTGATAAAAATAATAACTTGCATTATCAGACGTAATCGTCGTCATCGTCATCATCATCATTATTATTATCATCATCGATGTCATTTTCAAACAGTTTTCTTTGTTCTCGACATTGTACAACAATCCCAGCGAGATAAACACTGGACGGTAAGTGTATGGAACACCCACTAACAACTCTGAAAAATCTCAACAAACGACCATATGTGAAGTGACCATGGCCCTTTCAAAACCGACCACCACGAGATGGAGATAAAGAGAGAGAGAAAAAGAGAGAGAGAGAGAGAAAGAGAGAGAAAGAGAGAGAGAAAGAGAGAAAGAGAGAGAGAAAGAGAGAAGGAACAACTTGACACCCTGCCCGGCTCTCAGATGTTATGAAACGTTAAGACTTTTTTTATTCTTTGAAAAATCGGAATCTGTATAGCATGCAAGCCAGTAGCATGAAATGATGATAGCGAAAAATAAATAACGGAGAAAAAATGTTTAAGCATGAAAAGTATGGAAAATAAAATAATGTAATTATTTTGGAGGAAGGCTTAGAGAACTCAGCAAGCGTCTAGCAGAGGCTGGAGTAGTAGTGAAAGCAACCCTTAGAAGACTGGATTCAGAGGATCTTTAAACAGCTACAACAACACAACTAACATGACACCAGCATCGCCAACAATAACAACAACATCCTCAAACTGTTCATCACCCACCCATCCACCCACCCACCTCTGATGGTAGCCCACGTTGTCCACTGCACCCTCCTCCACCTCATTCCAATCAACCACTTTTGAACTTTTTGGATCAGGGCGTCCAGGTGCTCCTTGTCAGATTTGATCAGCTGATCGAATTCCGCGAACTTGCCAGGTCTGAAGAAAATTTTCGTCATTCCGAATTTGTAGTCTGTCTCTTGGAGGCCGAGTGCTTTGAAGAGGGCCTGCCAGTGTTGTTGTCGTTTGTGTTGTTGTTGGCGGTTGTTGTTGGCGGTGTTGTTGATGTTACGATGTTGTTTGTGATGTTGTTGTTTGTGATGTTGTTGTTTCTGTTTACAATGTTAAAATAATTAATAAGTAGAAGGATCATATCTATTTACTCAATAAATGTATAAATGCTTGTTACATGCTAAATCTATTGATTTTACGCTTATTCACGTATAAATTTGGTATTTTTCAGCTAAAGTAATGAAAGACAACTCAAAGTTTAAAATTCAGAATTGTTCATCAGATTTGTAAACTACCAGCTAACCTTACAGAAGAGCCTTGGATCGAGACGGGCGATGTTGGCGGGCATGAACTGCTTGTACATGTTGTAGAGTTCAGAGAAGGGAGTTCTTGATGGAAAGCCCTGGTGCATCAGGTCCAATACGCTTGGCATACCTGTTGTTGTTGATGTATGTGTACGTGTGTTTTTGTGTGTGTACGCAAAACATCTGTGTGTGTTTGTAAGTTGTACTCATTTGCTAGTTTGAACTTTAAAAACATTTGATCAGTTCATGTGTTCCTCATTCATCACCAGTTTACATAATTGATGATCAATTCATTTTGTAATTTTTCCATACCGGAGCACTGCAGCTGAGTCAGGATTTGTGTGCCCTCGAAGCAACGGGCGGCCATCTTGGAATTTGGTTTGATGCACCTGATGAAACTGGTCCCCTGGTGATGGTAGTAGATCGATGGGTGTGTGCGCGCGTGTGCGTGCGTGTGTTTGTATGGGCGTGTAAATGAATATGCGTGTGTATATGTTTGTGTGTATGTACGTGAGTGCGTGTGCGTGCGTGTGTGTGAGAGCACCTTAAACACCAGCCATCGACACCCCGCACTCACCGTACTCCTCAACTTCTCCATCAGCAGCGACAACTGCGATTGAAATTTGCTGCCGACGCTGCTGAAGGCAAGTTTTCCAGATGATGGCGACGACGACAACCCCGATGGCAGTGATGATGATGATGACGACAAAGATGATGATGATGATGATGATGATAAATCGGGTTTCAACTCGTAGAGCGACTTCAAGAAGACACTTTTTGAGTTGAGAATCAAACTTTCGAGTGAATAATGCAAGGCGTCGTTATTTTTGTCAATGAATTGAGCCTAAAAGATTTGCATAAATTAACATTAATTTGCTTAAATTAATATTAGTTTGCATATACTATTAATTTTTATTTGTGTAAATTAGTATTCGTTTTGAATATATTAATAATAACTTGCATAAATTAACGTGAATTAATCGTATCTCACAGTTTCGTAACAGACAGCTCCAGCAAAATGGCGGATGAGAAATCCCTCATTGTCCAGGATTTCCCTGTGCGCTTTCAGTTTCGATTTCCTTGGTATCTAAAATATTAAATTATAATTTAAATTAATTAACTAAAATTAATAACAATAAAACAACGTTATTAAAAATTAAATAAAACTACAAGTAAAAAATATATAATGACAAATAGTGGCAAAATCAAAGATCCGTCCAGGGTTTTTCCCCGCGGTAGTTATTTATAGCATATAAAGAGGCATGTCATGAATATTTATTTAGAAATTATATTATATACTTATTAACTCATTAACCTCTACTATGACCCCAACTAAGGACACAATTTTTGTTTAATTTTATTTGTTTTTTTTATTGATAAATCAATTTTATCGGTAGGATATGCCACTTTATAAACTATAAATAACTACAGCATGGAAAAACCCAGAACGGATCTCTGGTTTTGCCCAAATAGTACTACTACTACCACTAAAACAGCCTACTAAAGTATACAAAACCAGTAAAGTACACTCCTACACACACACACACACACACACACACACACACACACACACAAACACACACACAAACACACATGTACACTTACGTTCAATCTTGCGTGGTCTTTATTTAACCGATGAACTTCCGATGTGAAATGGTCGGCCAGTGGTTTGGGCAGTTTATTCTCTTCGTCAAGGATGCTAAAGATGCCATTGGTTCGTGATTCGATGAGGTCTGTTGAGGTGAAGTTTTATTAGCCAATTAAATTATCAAAAGTTGTTCAACAGCCAATCATATAATCGATCAATCATCAAAAATTTAAATCGTTGAGTGAATGATCAAGCAACCAAATTATCAAGTAAATTTTTAACAGGTAATCAGATAATTGATTTAAAAATCAATCAATCAATCAATCGATCGATTGATCGATCAACCAACCAACCAATCAATCAACCAATCAATCATTCACTCCATCAACTGATCAACTTGGAATGTTTCTTAATTCAATTTAATTCAAATTCAATTTATCATAATTAGCAAATTACAAATCATTCAAACTTAATGATACAATGTTATCAGAATATTATATTTATCTATATTTTAATATTCATTTATATTTTAATAATATTTAAATGTTTTAGAAAAGAAATTAATAAATAATTTTAAAAAATTTTCATTTAAACCAGCGAACCGATACAGTCCTGGTTGTCTATATAATGGATCTTCTTCACTTTCAAATCTTCTTTCTCGTACAAGGCTTGTTCCTGATGACCGTGGCAATGATGATGATGATGATGGTAGTGATGATGATGATGGTAGTGATGATGATGATAAAAGATGATGGTATTGATAATGATTATTAACTTCTTTGAGGATTCGCTCGTTGAAAAATTGTTGCAGTTTTTCATTGCAGTAGTTGATGCAGAACTGCTCGAAGCTGTTCGTCTGGAAGTATTCTGTTGTTGTGTAATGTTGTAGTTGTGTTGCAATGTTGTAATTGTGTTGCAATGTTGTTGATGTAATGTTGTAGTTGTGTTGTAATGTTACAGTTTTTTGTAATGTTGCGGTTGTGTTGTAATGTTGCAGCTGTGTTGCAATGTTGCAGTTGGGTTGTAATGTTACAGTTTCGTTGCAATGTTGCAATTGTGTTGTAGTGTTGTTGTCGTTTTGTTGTAATGTAGTTCTTGTATTTCAATGTTATTGTTGCACTGTGATGTTGTTATTTTGTAATGTTTTCACACCGAATGGCTTCACATCAAACGATTTCTTCATAGCTTCGGTAATCACCCACCGAAACCGGCAATATCGAGTAATCCGATGTAGGATACCGACTGGCTGAAGGGCAGCGATTGGTTGACGGCAAGGACGATGTAGTCGAATAGTTTGGCGTACACCGACTTGGCCAGTGCATCTCTGGCGTTCTGTGCCTCGTTCGTTTTCAGTGGAACCCTTTGTTTTTTCGTTTGTTTGTTTTTTGTTTATTATTTTTGTTTATTATTTGTTTTTTTTATTCGTTTATTAATTATTATAAAATTATAAATATAATTTTAAAAAAAATCAAAAAATTTCATTCAACACGAGCAATGCATGCATTGAGCATGGAGGAAAGTACTTAGAGTACATTTTCATTAAAAAGTAATCTATGACGAAGTAAATGAAATGACGAACGTGTGGGATATTAAAAAAGGCAAATGAACAAAAAATTAAAAAACGAACAAACGAATGAACGACAGAATGAACGAATAAACAAACAAACGAACGAACGATCGAACGAACACACCAAAAAATGAACGAACGTACGAACGCACAAAAGAACAAATGAATAAATGGACGAAGAAGAGACAAATGAGTGAATGAAAAGAACGAGTGAAGTTTAAAAATAAACGAATAAACTTACAAGATGGCACTACCTCTCCTTCCGCCAAAACTGGTGACCATCATTCTGCTGGTGAGAGCGGCCTTCAACTCATCCTTGTCACATCCAAGTAAGATAGATGTTACCTCCAATGAGGGTATTGAAAAAGGAGCCACCTGGCACCCTCCTGGAGTTATGAAGAGATTGTTGATAGTGATGATGACGGCGGTTTTTGTGATGATGTAATGGTGAGAATGATGACGATGATAGAGGTGATACTCGTGACAGTCACAATGATGATGGTATGTTCACAATTTCACAATGTTCACAATTTGTAACAACGATGGTGATTGTAATATAATGATGACTCATTTACTCACTTACTCACTCACTCTCTCACTCACTCACTCTTTCAATCTCTCACTCACTCTTTCAATCTCTCACTCACTCACTCACTTTCTCTCTCACTCACTCACTCACTCACTCACTCACTCACTCACTCACTCACTCACTCACTCACTCACTCACTCACTCATTCACTCACTCACTCACTCACTCACTCACTCACTCACTCTCTCTCTCTCTCTCACTCACTCACTGACCCGTAGTATCTTCAGCGGGTGGATCTTCGAAGGCCACATTGCCAAGGTGAAGGACGCCGGCAATGACCCTGTAGATTTCTAATTTTAGCCTGTCGGAAATACCCATGTGGGAGAGGGCGGAGTCAGTGAGGTTGAAGTCTGTGACGTCATTTAGGGTGATGTCACGCAGGGTGCCCTGTTTCTTTGTCTGATTGGATGAGTTAATGAATGAATGAATGAAGGGATGAACGGATGGATAGATGGATGAAATCTGCTGAACAGATGAAGAGATAGAAGGAATGATTTGATGGATTGACAAATGGATAGATGGACGGTTGAATGAATGAATGAATGAACGAACGAACGAATGAATGAATGAATGAATGAATGAATGAATGAATGGATGAATGGATGAATGAATGAATGGATGAATGGATGAATGAATGAATGAATAAAATGAATGGTTAGACGACTGTGTATGAATAAATTGTGTGACATCTATCAAAATATATGTAGGAGTGAACGAATGAAATAATAAAATTAAAAAAATATTTATTTACGGAATTAATCAACCAATAAATTAACCAACCAAATAATTAACCAACCAATAAATTAACCAACCAAATAATTAACCAACCAAATAATTAACCAACCAATAATAAATTAACCAACCAAATAATTAACCAATAATAAATTAACAAACCAAATAATTAACCAACAAAATAATTAACCAACCAATTAATTAACCAACCAAATAATTAACCAACCAAATAATTAACCAACCAATTAATTAACCAACCAATTAGTTAACCCATTAATTAATTATTAATTACACAACTAATCAATTGACGAAATGAAGGATTGCCAGGACTAACGTTACAGCTCTTCTGCGAATCGACCAAGGAACGCTCACTGGCATCGTTACAGAAGAATTGCGTGCAACCCTTCCTTAGATACTGCGTGCGTTGGGAGGGATAAAAAGTTCAGTGGAAAGGTTCTCAATGGTAGTAGAAGAAATTAATTTAAAATTGAGGATGAATTCATTTGTTTGTTTGTTTGTTTTATTTGTTTATTTATTTCACGAATTATCACACCCCACACACACACACACACACACACACACACACATAGAGTAAGAGAGAGAGAAAGATAGAAATAGAGAGAGAGAGAAAGATAGAAATAGAGAGAAAAAAAGTAAGAGAGAGAGAGAGAGAGAGAGAAAGATCCACCAACATGAAAATCATCCGGATTCTCAACTTTCAGCATGCTTCTGAGGCTGGCGGGAGCTCCAGCACAAAGTCGATAGAAGATGTGGTAGTTCCTCTCCCCGGAACTCTGAATGCAGACGCGGGACTTCTCCAGCAAGTAATGAGATATGTACCCTCCGCAGACCTGGTTCTGTTACGTGATTGGTTGCTGGGTTGGTCATATGATTTTCTCATTGGTTGGTCATTTGATTGGATGGTTGGTCATTTGATTGGCTGGTTGATTGATTAGTTGTTGGGTTGGTTGGTGTTGTTATTATCATCATCAATTTGATCACATCATCATTATCATCATCATCATCATTTTCACATCAACATCAAATCATCATCACATCATCACTATCATCAACAACAACAACATCATCATCATCATCCCCATCAAAGATGACCTTTGAGTCGAAATGTATCTCGACGAACTTGCCAAACCTGCTGGAGTTGTTGTTCCGCATGGTCTTCGCGTTGCCGAATGCCTCCAACAGTGGGTTAGCTGTCAATCAAATGAAGAGATGATGGTGGCGGTGGTGGTGGTGAGGATGATGATGATGATAAAAATGATGGATGATGATGATGGTGATGAAAATGATGATGCAAAAATAAAGTTGTTGATGATGATGATAATAATGAAATGATGGTGGTGATGAGGATGGTGGTGGTAAGGATGATGATGATACAATGATGATACAATGATGAGATAGTTGGATAAAAATGTTTAATACATAGAAGACATTGAAAACAGCGGTGGAGGAGATGACAGCTATTTATGTTGACCGATGGGAAAAAAATATACTTGAACACACACACACTCTCTCTCTCTCTCTCGCCACACACACACACACACACACACACGCACGCACGCACACACGCACATAAACTCACAACTAACATTCAACAATCCTCTGTTCAATTGGGCCGGCCTTGGACCCCCAAGATTCGGTCAAGTACTTGAGAATGTACTTGGTCGACTCGGTTTTACCGGCTCCCGACTCGCCACTTACTACTATCGATTGAGATTCTTTGAAGTGCTTCATGTCCCTGTAAGCTTTGTCGGCTTGGAAATTGATTTAAGATCATTTATCTAAAAATTTTTTTAAATTATTTATTTAAAAATTATTTATTCAACCAATCAAATATTTCATCAACCATCCAACGGATCAACCAACCAACCATCCAACGGATCAATCAACCAACCAACCAACCAACCAACAAACCAACCAACCAACCTATCAGCCAACCATCCAACCAACCAACCAGCCAATCAGTCACTCAACAACTTCTCCTACCGATAGCGAAGACGTGGGGTGGTCTAGTACCAAGGGACTTGCCTTGATAGGACTCAATGGAACTTTTATCATACAAATTGTTCAGCCCTTTGTAAGGGTTGAGAGCTATCAGGATGTTTGCCACGTACGTCTGCTCCGGTGATGGTTTCGATGGATTTGGGATTAAGGATTTTCAACAAAATGGAATTGAAGATTGAAGTTAAAATCATAGGATTGCGATTAAGGAATGCAGAAAAAAATTATACAGCGTATGTGCATCGCGGATAATGTGATTATATTTAAACATGAGTATCGATTTATTACAGCGGCTGGTTCCTAATTTAATTTATTCAATGCCTGGCCTGGAAACAATACTGAGTTGATGGCATCGATAAATAATTAATTTTTAGTTTCAATATTATTCACACTTGATTCCAATTGTGAGACGGTTGAATTGATGATCGGTTCAAAATTTTGTCATAAATACGTTTTAATTAACCACCCAATCAATTAAGCACATAATTAGCCACTCAGTTATGTTAGTAATTAGTTCGTTCGTCATAAATATTCGATGTGTCAGTGAATTTTTGAGTGAATGAAAGGAAGAACAAATGAACAGAGATATGAATTGATGAACAAGCAAACAAACGAACCAACAAATGAACGAAAAAATAAATGAAAGAACGATCAAATAAACGAACAAAGGGGCGAACGTGCAAACAATGAAAAGGATGAACAAACTAAACGAACATGAAACAAATATGAATAAATATTGAAAGGTAGGGGCATACTGACATATATGGAATCCTTCAGGTACCTGACTCTCACGTTGTTCAGCAGGGTGGCTTCGTTCAAGTACATCAACGCGCCTGGTAAAATAATAATAAAATTTTTACAATAATAATAATAGTAATAATGATAAATAAATACTATATAATAAGATTTATATTATAAATTATAGATTTTCAAATTTGTTTATCATTAATTCAGTTAGAAATTATGCATGAAATGAGATCAATTAGTCTGGAGGCCAAAAAAAAATCAAATTCTTTTTACAAACCATAAAATAATTAAAATAAAAACCATAATTATCAAAAACTATTCAAAAATAATAAACTTAATTACAATTATCTTCGACATCTTTGTTTTCATACTCCTCGCTAGGGTAAACCTCGTTATAATTGACCTTGACCTCATTCTTGTGACTGGGGCTAAACGAGGATGAAGATGATCCGGACGTCAATTCCACGCTCACCCATTCGCTATTTATATCTTTTATTATCCCTAATTTGAAGCCGTCTGTCGGATCTGGGACCCAGACTTTTCTACCGCCATCCATGCTTTGTTGTGTGTGTGTGTTTGTTTGTTTGTGTGTGTTTTGTTGTATGTTTTGTTGCGTGTTTGTTAGTACGCTAGTACGTGTGTGTGTGTGTGTGTGTTTGTAGGTGTGAGTTTGTTTATTTATGTTGTATGGGCGTTTTGTTGTTGGTGTTTGTTTGTGTTGTGTGTATGTGTGTGTACGCGCGTGTGTGTTTCGCTGTGCGTGTGTGTTTGCTTGTTTGTGTGTGTGTGTGAACTTGTATGTGTTGTTTTTATAAGCGGTAGTAGTAGAAGTAGCAGCAGCAGTAATAGTAGTATAAGTATTAGGTAGTAGTAGTATTATAAGCAGTTGCTAATGTAGTTTCTGTTGTTAGTATTGTAGAAGTCAATATGTTTTTTGTTAATGTGTTTGTAGTAGTAGTAGTAGTAGCAGCAGTAGTAGTAATAGTAGTAGTAATAGTAGTAGTAGTAATAAATACTATAGTAATAGTAGTAGTTGTAATAAATACTATAGTGTTTTGCTTTGGTTTGTTAGATGTTGATATAGTAGATGATAACGACGATGATGATGATGACGATGGTGATGATGACGTTGGAGATTACGACAATTAATCTTGTTAATGACGTTGTTGTCCTACTAAATATCAAAGGTTGATGATGACGAATGTATTTAGCGAGATGACGTCATGACGTAAAAAATAATGATTTAGTAGTCGTCAGCAATTTCATTTAATGTTGTTGTTGGTGTTGTTGATGTCGTTGTTGTTTTTGTTGATCAAGTTGTTGTTGTTGCAGATGTGATTCAGATATTTAGTGTTGTTGTTGTTGCTGTGTGACATTAAATTAATAAGATGCTATCAACATTGTCATCAGCATTGTCGTCGTAGTTGTTGTTTTCTTCTTGTTGTTGTGTGTTGTTGTTTTTTTAAACTGATCTTCTCCTGTATAAACATGATTTCAATTATTATTACAATTACGTATACAATCCATTCAATATATGATATTTTTTTAGAATAATTTTAATAAAACATTCATCTAAATAATCCGTTTAATTATGAATAATTATATTATAAATTCTATGCTACGTCATCACTGGCGTCATATTATAATATAATAACTTCGGATCCAAAACGTATGTTTATTATTATTATAATTAATATAATAATAATAATTATAATTATTGTTGTTGTCGTTGTTAATTTAATTGTTATCGTTAATATGCAAAATTTATTAAATAATAGAATCAAAATAATAATCACAAATCAGTTATTAATAATTTATCAATGGAAAACCCGCAGCCACACAATATCTCTGTACTGAAATGTCATATAGAAGAAATACACATATATACAAACATACATACATACAAACAAGCATACATACAAAAAAACATACATACATACATACAAACATATGTACGTACATACATACATACATACATACTTACATACATATATACATACAATACATACATAGTTATATACATATATGCATGCATACATACATACATACATACATACATACATACATACATACATACATACATACATACATACATACATACATACATACATACATACATACATACACAGTTTATAAAGCAACGGCAGCGTTTATTTACTAACATTATAGTTGGGATGAGAGCTTGTATACGTGCTACATTCATTCAATTATGTTATCAGTATTATCTTGTCAATTCCTCAATATTAAATATGCATGTATGTCTGCATGTATGTGTGTACACAAATGTCTGCATGTATGTGTGTACACAAATGTCTGCATGTATGTGTGTACATAAATGTATAGCACATACATACCCACATACGCATATATATACATATTTATTCAAACTTTTGAATAGTAATCATTCGACATTAATTTCTCACAAGAGAGTTATTGATTTTTTAATATAATAATATGGATAATTGTATGCTGCTTTATACACACGCAAATAATACATATAATATAATACATTTTTTTATATATATATATGTATTATAACATATGTTTTTCAGCTTTATATATATAATATAACACGTGGGTCTTATGCAAGTGCTATGTATAAGAAAAATATATTATACATATGTATACATATATTGTATACATATATTTATATATGTATATATATGTTTATTTATATATATTTGGTATATGTTGTATACTACAGCTTAAACGTATCTAATGTACACATGAGAGTGACTTACCTGTATTGTATAGCAGTTACCAAAGATACCAAATGTAAGCATCGCCGTGTCTGCAGTTTTTGTGGGCTTTGGTTTGCATTTTTGCCTTTTTTTGATTGATGATGTTGTTTTTATCGTTATTGTCTTGTGGTTGTTGTGGTTTTTTGTTTGTTTTTGTTGTCGTCATTATATTTTTTAACCGTTGATTTTTTATTATAAAACTTCTTATTGATAGTCTGATTGATTGGTTGGTTGGTTGGTAGATTGATTGACTGATTGATGGATGGATTAATTGATCAATCGATCGATCGATCGATCGATCGATTTATTGATTGATTGAGTGCATAGTTGATTGCATGGTTGATTGGTCGATTGATAAAAATCTTGTCATTTATCAGCACCGAATTTTTGGTAGTTTCTAAAACTATAAACTGTTTGTTGATATGATAAATAATATAAGTTTATGACATTCGGTGCATAAAGTTAATTTAAGTTTACCTTTTTCACGAACGCACCTTCAGATGATCTTGCACAGGTTGTTCTTTTGTACACCTGTATTAGAAAATAAGTAAACAAATGTTTCATCCACGTGCACACCTCTCTCTCTCTTTCTCTCTCTTTCTCTCTTATTTTCTTTCTTTAGTTATCTCTCTCTCATTCTACTTTTTTCACTCACTTTTTCTCTCTTCTCACTTTCTCTCCCTCTCTTTTTCTCTTTCCTCCTTACTTTTTCTATCCTTCTCTCTTACTTTCTTTCTCCCCTTTTCTCCCCCCCCCCTTTCTCTCTTTCAATATATACAAGTTGATGTATAAAAACACACTCTACACATTACATTTAATTGAGACAATCTTCGACAACGCCTTCCATTGTCTGGACGAAATTTCAAAATAGAACATGCACGTCGTCCTATAGAATTTTACGTGTTAAATATAAAAAAACCGTTTGGTAGAAAAATTTCATAAAATTAAATTTTTAAAAATATCTAATTTATATTAATTAAGATTTTATACTTTTATGGGATATATAATATCAAACTGGATCACGTTATCTGTTTACCATGTCACCTCCTTATTGAGCTGAATTGAAGGTATGTATGTTTGTGTGTATGTACGTGGTTTTGTATGTTTGTTTACGTTTGTTTGTATGTTTGTTTGTATGTATGTATGTTTGTATCTTAATTACAGTATTTTAGTTGTTAGTATGTGTTTTATGTTTGTATATGTTTTGAAGTTTCCATGTTTCAGTAAAACTTTTGAATTATTTTATTGATTGTATTATTTCCAGTTATGTTCAATTCAACGTTTATTGTGTAAATTTATTTATTGAGGATTTTTGTATGCCTTTTTTTTATTTTGTTGGTTGTGTATGCTATTACCTGGATGTGTTTTTTTATGTGCTAGTCTACCAGCTTGTACAGCCAGTCCGCTGTACAATGTTGTACATAACAGCGTACACTCAACATGCACATGATGTACACACAACGTACACGCACAGATGTTGCACGCATGCTATTATATTTGTTTATTCATTTAGCAGTTCAACTATTTGTCTATCGATCCAACTATCCACTTCTCCGTACAATAATTTATTTTTCCATCCATCCATCCATCCATCATTCATCCATCCATCTTCATCCCTGCCAGCCAATCATGTCACACGACCCGCCACTGACTCTCTCGCACCAATCTGGCAAGAACTTTCAGGTGAGGGAGAACACCTCCCTGCGTCTCAAATCGACCCTCGGCAGCCAGGGCGCCACCGTCATTGCGACCTCCCCGAAGGGAAGTGACGTCACGTTGAACGTCATCAAACGGAATGGAGGCTACACGACAGATTTCAGACCCAACGAAATTGGTTGTCGTCGTCGTCGTTGTTGTTTTTATTAGGTGTTGTTGGCCTTTTTGCCTGTAAGCATACGACACTTACAACGTTTTGTGGTGATAATTATATTTTATATATTACACCTTAATATTTATAACAGTCTGAAATCGGAAATAACTTGACTATAGCATTGATATATTGTAATTACTAAAGGCACATAAAGGCGTGTGATTGTTTCGGTGTGTGTGTGTGTCGTTGATACATTTGAGCGACGCAATTGAAAGAGGATAACCATGGCAATATACACTCCAGGAATTTGGAAATTTTCCGTCTTGCTGCTGAGAGATGGAAGTCACGTGGAGGGCAGCCCTTTCAACGTGAGGGTCTTCAATCTGCAGGGGGTGGATGTTAGGTGCCCTGCCCAGGGTGTGGCCAAGGAGAGGTGTTTCTTTGAAGGTTGGTTCAATGAGGAAGACGTCTGCAAATCAACTCTTTGGACATTTTTGTTCTTGGAATTTTGTTTCTGCATCTATCGCGTTTAGTTCTCGATACAGATTAGTCTTCACGTCATCGTCATCATGAACTCCATAATCACAATCATCATCACTATCATCGTCATCATCATCACTATCATCAAAAACAGTTGACACATCGAAAGCGGGTGAAGGTCATTTGTCGGTGAGAGTGACCTTGGAAGGCCGGGACGTCCCTGTGGAGTTGAAGAGGGACGAAATAGGGGGACGCAATAGAGGGTACTTCGTGCCCATCATTCCCGGGATTTACTCCTTGATTGTTTTCTTTGCTGGTGATGTTGTTGTCGGTGAGTGACGTTGATGGTAGTCGCGATGTTGGTACTGATAAACATGATGCTGGCGAGTAAACATCATCATCATTGTTCTTCTTATCATCATCATCATCGCCTCCATTATTTTGATCTCCATTATTTTCACCTTCATTATCATCTTCATCGTCGTCACAATCATCATCTTCATTGATCTCAACCAACAACCATCATTATCACCCCCACCCCACCCCCCACCCCCACCATCTCCAGGCTCTCCATACCAGATTGACATCAGCGCGGAGGAGAACATCATCATCGACCCGAAAACTCCTTACTTGGTCCGCGTCAACAGGGAATATGAACTTGACCTTATCTTCTCAAGGACGGTCACTCGTCTCGATGCTGATAACATTGCTGTCAAAATTATTGGTGGGTGAGTGAGTGAGTGAGTGATTGTGTGAGTGAGTGATTAGTTGAATGAATGAGTGAGTGAGCAGTGAGTGAGTGAATTTGTGAGTGAGTAGGCAGATGAATGTGTGGGTTATTTATGTTCTAGTTGATTGATTGGTTGGTTCAATGACCTTGGAAGATGACAGTGACCACTGTTATAAAGATGATAAGTAAGCTGCCGGCTGTAACGATGATAATGATTGCAGTGACGACGACGATGATTATGATAATGATTATGCATCATAAGATTGCGTATTATCTGATACACATATGATATCATATGATAGTGTATCATACGATTGTGTATCATAGGTCCTCTACCTAGAGATAAAGATATTGCAGCAGTTGTCTTTCCTCTGAACAACAACAACAGCAAAAACATCATCCGGATATCCTTCATTCCCATTGCAGTTGGTCAGTTGATGTTGTTGGCGATGTTGCTGGCGTGTGGCATTGGTGCAGCCGCTGGGAATGTTGCAGTTGGAAGCGCTGCTGTAGCGAATGCTCTTTGATGTTGTTTCTGGGAAATAGTTTGTGCACGTGTGATTCAGTTTACGTTAGAAATTATTTGAATAAAATTAAAATTAAAATATTTGAAACGCCATTTTCACAGGGGATCACGAGGTGGTTATATATTACAAAGAAAAAACATTCCAGGAAAATCCCGTGACGATAAGCGCATACGATCCGGCGGCTGTCCGGATTGTCTACGTCCCGAAAGTGGCAACCGTGGGGAAACCATGGCTCTTTGATGGTTGGTAAAAGTCTTTTGCTGGTTTTTGTGTTTGAGGGTCACATTGTTGGTTGTCGAAATTAAAATTTGAAGAGACTACTATTACTTTTCAGGATTTCAAAAATGGGATTGATGACCTGATGTTTTTGTTTTTTGTGGCTTTTTGTTCATTAACTTTATCTATCTATAAACTTCATAATACTTTTATTCATTTATTTATTCAAGCTCACAATCAGACACACACAGACATACGCACATACACACAGACACACACTTACCATTTTCCAATCAGTGGATGTAGTGGACGCGGGCAAAGGTGAACTCCAGGTTAGCATTAACCGTAGTCAGGTGCCCTTCGTGATGGAACACCTTGGAAAGGGTCTGCACCGTGTGACCTTTGAACCTAAGAAGGACGAGGAGTACCTCGTCGAAGTCAAGTTCAATGGGGAAGAAGTTTCAAGTTGGTTGATGAATGGATGGATGGATGAATGAATGTATGGATAGTTGGATGGTTCGATTGGTAAATAGAGTTGATAGTTGGGTGGATATAGAAAGGATGATTAAATGAATGTATTGACGGATAATGAATTTCTAATTATACCTACTTGGTAAACATCTAACCAGATAGTCCGTTTCAGGTTGAGGCAGAAGCGAACGTGGAAATTGTTGGAGTAGGAAGTAGCAGGGGTCTGCTAAACCAGATCAACCACTTCTTCGTCGCCATCAACAGCCCCAACAATAAAACACCTTCAGCCATTTTGATTGGTCACCGCGCTCATTTATTTTCTGTTTGCCCTTTCTAATTTGTCGTTGTGTTTTTCCAATTGCTGCCTGGGCTGTAGTAGTTGTTTTTGTGGTGTGATGTTTTGAAAAATTTTGTTCCGGATTTTATAATATTCAATTTTTAATATACTAGTTTAAATGTTTATTTTTCATGTTTTATCAGCCCTTTTATGATGTAATAACATCGGATTACTTGGAAATTGTTTACCTTTAAATGGAGATAAACTGTCATATAACGTTTTTACGACTTTCTACACTTTTAACAGTAAAATGTATTATTTAATATAAACTAAATTACAAATTTGTACATTTTAACAGAATTTTTTAAAATATAATTATCTATCTCTTTTGAACTAAGGTCCGGATGGCAAATCCTTGGGGTGCCCTCTTAAGAAAGTCAAGCCAGGGTACTACAAGTGTGAATATCTGCCAGAGGCAGTTGGTCAGTTGTGTGGGGTCATTTTTATTTTCTTACATTTAAATTTAAATTTTTTATTTGAAAAAATTATCGAATTGTTAATTTTTTTCCAGGGAAGCATGAATTAAAATTTTTGCTAAACGGATCACCCCAAAATAAGGAATCGAAATTCCTTATTGACGTCTTTGACCCAGCCTCCATCACCGTCACTCCGACCAATCAGGTTGCTACTTTAGGGGAACCAACTACTGTGATTGGTTGGTTGAAATTATGAATATTCATTATTATAATTTATCAAATGTTTATTAAAATTTAAAGTGTACATGATTATTGTCACTTTTTGTTCAACCAATGAATAATTTTTCAAATTATTTTTAAGATACCTTTTCCAAGTCTTTATCGTTCTACAAAATTTTATTCTATTCCTGGCCATTTTTAATTGAATTCAACGTTTCTACTTTAAATTCATCTGCATTTGAAACTTGATGGACATGAGGAAACCCCAAGCATTTCATTACTGCTATTGAACTATCTTAATAACCTTATTATCTATTGTATTTATTATTTAAATATATAATTAACATTTAAAAATTATGAAGTCGACGTACGAAAGGCGGGGCATGGAGACATGAAGGTTAAAGTCTCCAGGGGTTCTAAGAACATTCAGCATAAGATCAAGAAAGTAGAAGGAAGTGAGGGCCTGTATCAAGTGACCTTCACGCCGACGGAGGTCAAAGATCATTTTGTCTCCGTCTCGCTAAACGATGTCACTCAGCAAAGTATGTACGTGCGTGTGTATGTGTCTGTGTTTGTGTGTGTATGTGTTTGTGTATGTGTGTGTGTTTATTAGGGTGATTATTTTGGCCCTGATAAACTAATGATGATGATGATGATGATTATGATGATGATGAAAATGATAATGACGTCACGAACGATGTTAATGACTTTGATTGCCATCATGCCATTTGCATCGGTTTTATTGAAGCCAGCTATGAAAATTTCGATGACTAAAAAATTCACCCAGAATTTGGAAATTTATTTTCCGATAATAAAAGTAGAAGATGAAAAGAAATTGGTGATGATGATGATGAGGATGGATGTAAGTATGATGATACAGATGCAGTGAGGGTGGTGACGATGATGATGGCGGTGACGATGATCATTAATAATTAGGATGAAGACGATAATGATGATGATAATGATGATAAAGATGGTGATGATGAGGGTGAGGATGATGGTGATGGTGATGATACCCTATCTCAGATTGCAGCATAAACGTACCAGTCTTAGACAAAAATCAGCTGAAAGTGACGGGAGAGGGCGTATCCTACGCATCTGTCAATCAAAAATCAAGCTTCAAGTTGATTGGTCAGAAGTTGGTCCAAGATGGAGTGGAGGTTGTCATCACGGGTTATTGCATTAGTTTTTATTTTAAAGTTATAAAGCAAATATTTTGTAACAAATTCACAAATTTAATCATTCGATCAGCCATGGAAGGCAAGGAAAAGATTCCTGTGGAGGTGACGAAAGTGAACAGCAGCACGTACAACATCGAATACGTCACAATGAAGGTAGGCGATTACAGGGCAGAGGTCAAATATAAAGGGGTCACCATAGGTCAAGGACCTTTCGTTATTAAATCGTTTGACCCTAACAAAATCAAGGTCGATGGATTGAGGGACACCATTTTAGACACGCCCACAATGTTTATGAGTGAGTTGGTTGTTCAGAGTGGTCGCAGTATGTGCTGGTATTAAAATGGTTCCATTTCCATCAAATGTTTAGATTTCAAATGACGCTATTTTAATCAAATTTTTTATGTATAAATGACCCAAACAAAATCGTGTTTTAGTGTTAAAAGACCTACCTGCTGTGTAACGTTGTGCCTGGTGAATAACGGTGTTTAGATATTTTGGATACGTGTAGGTATGAATGATTCTGCGTATAAAGCTCGAAGCAGCGGTTCTGAATGGATATCTGGCTACATGGTTTTGTATTTTACTACAAGACTCAAAAAAATATCATAATTAGACGAACATCATTCAACAACTTACTGACTAATAACAAAATAATAATAATAATTATTAACAATTATTAATATTATTATAATAATTATTATTTTTAATATTTACATTATAACCCGGAATATAACAGTCGACACGGAGAGCGCAGGTGTGGGTAACATGATGATATCCATCGAGTCTGTGGATAACAAGAACATCAAGATACCATCAAACGTTGAGCCGTCAGGGTCAAAGTTCAAGGTCGAGTTCATCCCGAAAAGGAAAGGCTCGTACAAGATCAACATCCTTTTCAACGACAAATACATTTTAGGTCGGCATTGTTTGTTTGCATTTTTAGAATTTAATAAATTAATTAATTACGTTTAATTTATTTTTATTGTATCTTGAATTATTTTATTTTTTTCTAGACCATTATTAATATAACTTGAGTTATTTTGATTTAAAAATCTTCCATTTTGAAAACAGGAAATCCCTTTTTATTTAATGTTTTTGATATTCAATCTGTGACGTTGAAATCAGCGGAAGTGCGTGACGTGGAGAGGACTAAAAATGTATCTTTGGTACTATCAGCTTCAAATTGTAATGCTGCCGATTTTCAAGCTTTTGTTACTGGTCAGTTTTTGTCTCTAAATTTTCCACAATTTCTACTTAATTTTAGATTTTTGTTCAATCTTTAACTTTTGTTTGAAAAAAAAGGATTCAAATCGCAAATAAGCATGAAAAAATGAATGAGTTAGAAATATTTTGAAAATATTTTAATTTTATTGATTTTTTTGATGGTGAGGCTTCGAGTCCGACTGCAGACGTCACCCAGTATTGCTAGTATTTGTGAAAAGTTGAAAATTACTTTCGAAATGGCGCTATATAAATTATGCTGATCAGCTGAATTATTGACTCAAATACGAATTTATCTCTACATGTCAACCTCCCATCAGATCCTGAAAATCAAAAGAAGGCAGCGAGAATCGTGCAATCGTCCGCCAGTGAAGTTCTCATCGGATTCAATCCACTGATCGTCGGTAGGTCCATTCTTGGGATGGTGATGATCATCGTAAACGTTGTGTTATCATAAAAATAGTTATTATTTTATTATTATTGCTGTTGTTATTGTTGTTGTTATTATTATTATTATTACTAGTAATAGTAGTAGCATTATCAAACGATGAAGCTGATAAGGATTTATATATGTTGATGGGAAGTTTTTCTTAAATTGTAACGACAAACTTTGAAACGATTTCTTTCTAGCTATTAGTTAAAGCCCGTGCCAAACGACAAACAGTGCGGTCTTATAAGCTATGAAGCTGTAAAGCTGAGCTACGTATTAACGTGGAAGTGACGGTGGCACGGTGTGGAATATGACGGAATGTTTTTGTAAACTTTTAAAAATGACACTTGACTCCTGCAATCTTCGTAGAACGAACTCGAAAACTGTGATGATGATGATGATGATGATGATGATGATGATGATGATGATGATGATGATGATGATGATGGGATGATGATGATGATGTGATGATGATGATGATGAAGATGATGATGTGATGATGATGAAGATGATGATGTGATGATGATGAAGATGATGATGATGTGATGATGATGAAGATGATGATGTGATGATGATGATGATACGGAGTTAAGGATTACAATGGTGATTATTTTCACATACATGATCAATAACATTGCCACGAAACAAAACGAAGATGATGGCAAGCAATTTGAATGTGGCACTGAAAACATTAATAGTCGGAGAAGATGATTTTTACAACCAAGATATGATGATGATAATGATTATGACGATGATGATAATGACGAAGACGAAAAAATGATGACGATGATGATGATAACGATGAAAAAATAATTAGGCTGATGATGACCAATCGTTCCCAAGAAACTTACATTTTTTTCATCTCCACAGGTGAGCACGTTGTGGAAGTGACGTACAAAGGTCACGCCATTGCAGGCTTTCCCAAGGTCATCAACGTGTGGGACGCTAGTCAGGTCAGGGTCAAGTCCATTGAACCAGGTCGTGTTAATAGGTCACAGGCTTTTGAAAGTTAGAGATTTTCCTATTGACTTAATTTCGTCAATAAATCGTTAATGGCTTGAATAACGTTGTTTTGTTAGATGTTAACAATGCATTTTAAAACAACGGTAACTTTTAAACTTGTGACGTCACGCATTTATGCTAATGATGAGTGAGACAGTGATGATGATAATGAATAATACTTCTTCTCAGTCGACGCCAGCCAATCAGGAAACGGCAAGTTGGAGGTGGACATTCGTGACTCAGAAAATATATGCGTACCTACCGAAGTCCATTCCAGCCGATCACAGCAGTTCATTTCAACCTTTACCCCAACGAAACCAGGTCAATATAGGGTCAATGTGAAATTCAATGGAGTGCAAGTTAAAGGTTTATAAGTTTCTCATTTTTATCATTTTATGTGCATTATATAGTATTAAAAAGTAGATTTCATATTAATCCTTGATAAAATTTAATAATTAAATTATTTTATCAAACGTTTTCCAAAATATTTCCAAAAAATTAGAGAGTCCATTTTTGGTCTCCGTCCTTGACGACACAAAGTTCAAGGTGACTGGGGAAGGTCTAGATCAAACATCTGTCAACAGACCCACGTTGTTTTACATCACCAGCTTGCAAAAGGGCGCGTACCTCGACCCCAACAACCTTTCAATCAACATTCTTGGTGGGTGGGAGAAAAATGTTTCGAGTAGTTCCTACATTGCAAGTCTCTTGCTTACGTCATAATGGTTTCTGCGCGTTAGCTCATATTGTTGAGACGCCAAATTTTGTGCGTCTGCGGTATTGCATGTATCTACAAAGCATGTACTTCGCATACGTGCGTCGTGTGGTGGGAATGTACACTGTACTGCACTGTACCGTACTTTACTGTACTGAATTGTTCTGCGCTCTACTCTACAGTCACAGTAGTACAAAAGTTTAATTGTAACTTGGCTAGTAATAAGGCTCGTCCGAATTGAGAAATGAAAAAAAAAGATTTTCGTAACTGAAATAGATAGTTTATTAAATTGTTTATGATTTAAATTTGGAAAATGAGCGAACATTATTTCTGCGTCTGACAAAATATATGGTAATGAATTTTATTAATAAACTTATTTCCAAATAACACCCTTGACACCTTGACCTTTCAGATCCCCAAGGCAACTCTGTGAACTATCAGCTGACCAGTCCATCTAGCGACACTTTCCTCATCAACTATACCCCCAGCAAAGTAGGTCAGTTCACCACCGAGATCAAGTGGGCGGAACTTAACATCGGTAGCAGTCCATACAAGACTGAAGTTATTGATATTTCTCACGTCGTCGTCTCCCATTTGCCAGTTGATGTTGTCATTCATAATGCCGTCGAATTCATTGGTTGGCTATTTTTAAATCTTCGATTTTATGATGTAATTCAATATTTCATTGTTTGTGTGATTTGTGATATAAATTTAAATTTGGCTATGCGATGATTTAAGTTTTAAAAAACTGTCTGAGGACTAAACGTATCAGAGCTTTCAAGTTTAGCTTCATATGCTCGACCTCATTTATAAGAATAACAAGCTTTTTTTATAAAAAAAAAAAACAGATGAATAATTGGATATTTTTTTATTTCAATGAATTCAGTATTTTCAAATAAATTATCTTATTCTAGCAAATAACGAACCAACCAACCGACCAACCAACCAACCAAATAACCAAATAACCAACCAACCAACAAAACAACCATCCATACAACCAACCAGCCAACCAACCAACCAAACAACCATCCATCCAACCAACAAAACAACCATCCATCTAACCAACCAGCCAACCAACCAACCAACCATCCATCCATCTAACCAGACAACCAACCAACCAAACAACCATCTATCCAACCAGCCAAATAACCAACCACTAACCAACCAACCAACCATTAACCAACCAACCAGTTGATGCAGAAAATTCTGGTAACGGTCGATTGAGTGTAAACATCCAGACGCCAAAAAATAGTCAATATTCCGCCAGGATAGCACCAATACCATCATCATTATCATTATCGTCAACGCCGTTATCGTCATCACTATCAAAACTTCCGTCTATGTCGTCCAATGAATATCGAGTGACGTTTGAAACAAGAGAGCCCGGAAGACATTATATTAATGTGCTCTATGAAGATGAACATATCCCAGGTTGGTTGGTTGGTTGGATTGCTGGTTGGTTGGTTGGTTGAATGGAAAGGTGTATTGTTTGGTTGGTTGGATAGGTGTATTGTTGGTTGGGTGTGTAGTTTGTTGGTTGATTGGTTGGCTGGCTGGTTGGTTGGTTGATTTTTTGGATGATTGATTGGTTGGTTGGCTGGCTGGTTGTTAGTTGGTTTACTGGTCAGGTTGACTGATTGATCAAGTTGTATCATTGTTAAATTGATTGATTAATTGTTTGACCTATCTATCTACTTTGTCGATAAGTTGCTTTAGTTGGCTGATTGATTGTACGTTTTCTGACTCATCTGTTCGCTGGTTTTCACTCAATTTCAGTATCATTACTAACTGTGATTAAAAATTTAATAATATCATTTAATTAAAATTAAATTAAACTTTCAAAATTAGGATCACCATTTGTGTGTCAAGTGCACGACCCCAAAAAACTGCACGTCCAATGGCAAGATGTAAAAATCATACCGGCCAATAAGCACGCCCAGTTGTTGATAGAGTCCGACCAATTTATCAACGGTGACCTCATTTCGACCAAGATAATTGGTTAATATTTTGATATATCTAGGTCAATTTATTTCATACTTGTGCTAATCATTGCGACTTATAGGGCCCCAAGGAGAACCCCTGCACACCTCAGTTCTCCCTCTCAAACCATCCACCGCCTGCTCTAAAAGTTCCACTGCTGTTATCGAATTCACCCCAACAAACGTAGGTGAACATAGAATAAATGTAACCTATCTGGGTCAAAATTTAATTGGTTCACCGTACGTTTGTGAGGTTTTTGACCCGCTGAACGTTTCCGTCAATTTCTTGAATGCTGAGGAGTCAAAATTCACTGTCAACAAGAAAGTCGAGTTCACAGGTGCTTATTGTGCTTATCAATATTTTTAACTCTAGTTTCAGCATTTCAATAATTTTGTTTGTGAAATATTTCCCAACAAAATTGTTCCAGTGGACAGCTGTAACGCTGGAAAGGGTGACCCAACAATGGATGTGATCTTTCAAGATCGTCCAGTGGAGGTCAGAAAAGTGAGGATGAATAAAGAGGTTAACATGTTCTCCTTCACTCCATCCCTGCCAGGAGAATATCTAATTCACGTTAAGTTCAACAACGAGAACGTTCTGGGATTTCCGAAATTGATTGACGTCTTCTCGGACACACCTCCTCCCTCATCTGCTCCCCCACTTCAAACTTGTCCAGTTGAAACGGGGAGCCAGTACGAACGCTGCCCTGCTGCTGACCAGTCCTCGTCAGCTACTCAAACGAACTTGGATAGGAATTATGAAAAAGCAGTTGTTGTAGTAACAGGTGAGCTGTAACCGTCATCCAATCAACCAACGAAACAAACAATTATACACCAACACACATACACTCACACCAACACACACACACACACATGCACGCACACACACACGAACACACACACACATACACGCCCACCAGCTCCTAGCGGTGACATGATCACAGGAAAGTTGATAAAGACCCCATCTGGAGAATATAAAGCAGATTACAAATCACCGTTCACTGGTAAATTTTTGTTTCTGTATCAAATTTCTTTTTTTTTAGTTTCGTCTCGTTTAGTTTCGTTTCGTTTAGTTTTGCAATCATTTCTAATCTTTCATTATCATCATACCTATCAAGATATCCTATCATCATAAGCTTCTTTGTTTAACTTTCATGTTCGTAAGTGTTCTTTAGAAATGAATTGTAATGAATTGTAAACAAATGAATTGATGAATTGTAATGAATTGTAAACACGAAATGAATTGTAAACACGCCAAATCAATCGATCGATCAATCAATCAATCAATCAACCAATCAATCAACCAATTAATCAACTAATTAAACAATTGAAGCAGTAGTAGAAAAAATGGTAGCGAAAGTGATGGTAGTTGTAGCAGCAGCGTTTTCGCTATAGTAGTAACAGCATCACATCCATAATTTTCATCTTTTATCCACAAAAATTTTTACCGAATAATATTTCAAATCAAATATCAAATTTAACTCTTTTGGAAAAACAGTTGATTTTAAATTCACCAAACGACGAAGTTTCACGATCATTTTGATCCAGGCAGGCACAAAGTGGAGGTGCTTTATGAGGGCTGCCACATCATGAACAGTCCTTACTACGTTGACCTTCACGATGCTTCCAAGGTCAGCATCATCTCCGCCAGGCAGGTCTGGCTCATTGGGGAGACTGTTGATTTTGAAGGTCGTTGTTCAACTCACAAATGGATTTTAAGTTATTTTATTCGTAATTAACTATTTTGGTTTATTTTTACGTTGTGTTATTATTATTTTTTAAAGATATTTTTGTTTATATAAATGTTCAAACGTGGTACAAGTTCAGTTTTTTCTTGTATGTACGATTAGTTGATAATAGATAGTATCACAGCTTGGTTTGTTGATTTGTCAGAAACATTTGCTACGTTCGCGATGTTATTAATGTTTTCACCTCCTAATGACAATAACTTGATGTAAGTAACAATAACCTGATGTAACAATAACTTGATGTAACAATAACTTAATGTAACAATAACTTAATGTAACAATAACATATTGATGGCAAAGTTACAATAACAACATAGATTCATATCTATCATCAAACTATTTGCATGGTTAGTAAAATGAGTAATTCACATAAAATTCATTAAACGAAAGAGATTCATGCACAAAGTCGAAACATAATCAACCAGTCGTGACGAAAAATGCCGGTAATGCCGATCTGTCGGTAAAAGTGTTGGAACCGACCGGATCGCCCTTGGAATGTCGGTGTCAGCGAACCGGGGATGGCTACCGGATCGAGTGGAAGCCCCGAATGGAAGGATCTCACAGGATCTTTGTCAAGTTCGGAGAAGAACCTGTTACTGGAGGTAGGATGATGACGACAATGATGATGATGATAAAGTTGATGATGAAGATGATGAGGATGAAGTTGTTGATGACGAAGATGATGATGTTGTTGATGATGATGAAGATGGGATTATAATGATGACGACGACGACGACGATGACGATGACGACGAGGATGTTTTTGATGATGATGAAGATGAGACGATAATGATGATGATGATGACGACGAAGACGACGAGGAAGAAGATGATGAAGTTGTTGATGGCTGGAGCGGAAAGATGATGTTGATAATGACGATGATGGTGATTATCAGTCATCATCATGAAAATGATGTTTATAATAACAATATCA